TTGTTTAAATTTTTATGTTTATTTGAAAATAAATATGTATGCATTAGTTATATAGTTAGCGGGCCTTAAAACTGTATTTTGAATTTTGCAAATCAATTTGAAATATTAACTAAATTAATATGCATTTTAAATCATAAACAAATGAAACACATAAGGAAGTGACGTCAAAAAAAAAATCCAAATACCAAATCTAGATCATTAACATTTATTAATGATGAGTGGGCTCATGAATTATTTTCAAATGAACGGATCGCAATTCCAAATATAAACAAATGTTTATACGATATCTTCGGCACATAATTCTCAATTAACGGAGCAATTAATAAAAATTTATTGCATTTATGCAACGCAATTGGAATGAAATGTGTAGGGCATAAAACTGAAATGTTGCTCTACTTAAAGATTAATTTTTAAATTTGCAAATTATGAGCATACACATGTATATCTTCAAGTATCGTTTGGATACGTACTCGTGCAATTTCACAAGTGCTTACGTACAAAACTGATGACTCAATCGAAGCTAAAGCTGTGGCTTTACCTACTTTCAATATTTAGTGTCGACGCGAGCGAAATGCCAATTTATATGTACATACATATGTATGTATGTACGAATGTCTAGATCAAGTAGCAGCTACAACAGCAGTCAATTGACAACTGTAAAACATAGCCATATATGTAAGAGGCCGGCTCATGACGTAAGCGCCAGCATCAGCATAAATAGCAAACAGAGGCAAGACCTTTCGAAAACAAATTTACAGTCCCCAATGCCCGCCGATCCGATTCGACAAATAGCCAGTCAGTCAGTCAGTCGGTCAGGCCAGGCAGCAGTAACAGGCGCATGATTTATTGGCGACAAATATTTGCAAAATTACAATTCAAGTTTATGGCAACGTCTCGACGCCAAGAACGCCGCTGAAGAACGATGACAGCACCCACACACATCGAGGGTCGTCATCGTCGGCGTTGCCGCAGCTGAGCTGCCACGCACATCGATATGTATGATGTTAAATTAATGTTTAAAAATAAGTAACTAATGAAATACATTCTGCAGTTAATCCAAAAAAAGGAGAGAGAATGTCACAGTCTAACAAGATGGATGAAGATGTTTAAATCAATTGCTTCCATCCACCTGTTTCCGAGTGTGTGCGGACAAATCTATGATCCTGACGGAAAAAGGTAAGCTTATAAATGTATATCAGATATAAACATGAGATTTTATTAATTTGCTTAATAATATATTAATAACATAATTAATAAAAGGGAAAATTCAAAACTTTTCATTAAATTCGTTTAAACGATCTCTCGAATATTTGCAATATGACTGGTTTGATTTTCACATAATTACGGACTTATGGGATCAGTTCCGTTTAGGTATCTTACGCATTTCATTCATAAGTCAAACGTCGAATCGTTGATTGATTCTGCGTGCAAGCGTTCGAACGTTCAATGAATTTGAATTCCGGTTTCATGATTGGCAATTCATTGAGCGGCGCTTTGAGCGCTAAGCCCAATGCAAAATCGTTAACTTGTGTGTGCCCACAAATTTATTGTTTATTAATAGTTTTCTATAGTTTATTTACTTCATGAAGTTCGTAGGCTGCACGTGTTGTACCTGACTGCCTGTGCCTGTTCTGTTGTTAGTGTTCAGTGCGGTTGGAATTGTGGCGGCTGATTCTTCGATTTTTATATTTTCCAAATTTTGGTTGCTTGTGTGAAAGGAAATAAGTACATTATGTGCTTTTTGTATATTATTGTTAATGCTGCTTCTGTTGCTGTTTTTAGTGTTAGTGTTCTTGGAGTGGCCAGCTGGGCTTTATTTCAAACAATTTGAAAACTGTTTGCTAGCTTTTAATAAACGTTTGTGCCTTCTCTTTAGCACTGATTGTGGGCAAGTTTATATAAAGTTTGTTGCATGTATATAAACAATAATTAACAGTAAATAAACATTAAATGTTCTTGGCTATGGCAGGAAATGCGCGCAACTTAATTAAGCCGCTTGTAGGTCAAGTCGTGTACATTTGTATTTACTATTTTCGTCGTGTGTTGCAATGGAAGAGTTTTATTGCAGACAGGCGTTAGATATGCAAGCAAATGCATATATGAAAATTCATATAATTATTCAAAGACAGGTGGCACCTAAAAAAACACAGCTTTCTAAACAATTGAATATAACGGTACATAATTAGGGAAAACAAAATAGACAAACGCTCAAAGGCTTTATTTTAGGCACTTTATTTACGAACGACTCGTGAAGTCTTAAATAAACTAAAAAATGAAACCAAACCAAAGGAGATCCAAAACTTACGAATGCCAAAAATTATATATATATTTCCCTGCCAATATCGTTTAATATGATATTTTTATTTAGGTAAGCAGTTTAGATTATCTTTTCAATAAACATTTTTGTATTATTTTGGTTTAAAAACATACAAAAGAAATCCGAATTAATGTGTTCCCTTTTAATGTAAGTTCGAAGTACTCAAAGTACAAATCTATTCAACAAAAATATAGAAGGAGAGGCCTTCAGTAATGATCATTTATTCCATTGGATCGAATTTATTTCGAAATTTCATTTTTTTCACGCAGCCCTGGTGCAAAGCACACTTAACGGCAAAATGAGCTTTAATGTGCGTCAATGACACACTACCTATAATTACAACAAATCACAACGGTGCGTATGCGCAATTGAGAAAGTGAGATCAGTGAGAAATTACGGAGCGATAGCAACTCCGACTAAGATGGCGACTAACCAAGGCAGCCACATCATCTCGCTGGGCAATTAGTTGCAGCTTTAAGCGAACACTTCCGGCAAAAATGAAAAAGAGAATGTGCTGATATTAGATGTTGAGACTGTGACGCTGGTTAACATTAGACAAATTAGCACATTTAATAAGCGACAATTAAATAATTGGCCCCGAACTCAAAGTCGCCAATGCTCAATTGAGCAAATAACTGTGCTTCATTTAAATGCATGGCGTATGACGCACAACAGGACAGGCTCACACCTACGCACTGAACAACAACAACATAGGCAACTGAAAGAGCAACAGTCATTGATAAGCTAGGCTAGAGAGCAAAAACAAGCCTTGAGGATCGCACAGGCCGACTCATATGTCACTGGCAGGTGTGAGCGAGACAACTGGCAGACCTGCAAGTTGTGCTGCAGCAGCACATTGAGAAGTCGTGTAAACAACCATTGTCAACTGCAGCGCGGTTGTAGTTGTTGTTCCTATTACTTTTGTTTTTGTGCACTTCCTACTAGGAAATTCTACAGAAAAATGTGCAGCAACGACGACGGCGACTGCAAGTGTCATTTGAGATCCACACATACAAATACAAACACACATTTACGTAGACTACAAACACTTGAGCAGCTGCCGGTTTTGCTCTCCATGTTTGTGTGTGTATGCGTGTTTGTACGTACATTCATATGTATGTGCATGGCTGTGTTTGTGTCCATTTTTATGCTCAAACTCTTTTTATTATACCAAAAATCATAAAATCATAGCCAGCAGCTGTTTTAAAACAGCACTAAAAATATTGGGCAACCATTTTTATGGCCAAATTCTCAACAATTGCAGTCGGCACGAAGAACATTAGACGACAGCAGCGCCCCAAAGCTTGGCACGCACACAAACAGCAGGAAGAAGCAGAATGTCAACTACAGTAAGACCTTAAATAGAACGCCAATTTAAGAGAGAAGGAACAATATGAACGCCTACAGGGCAATGTTGTATCAATACACAACCTCTATGAAAATGCTTGGAAATGGAAATTAATGCATCCAATCCAAAAAACCATTTCATAAATGATCTCATTTGGGGCTACGATGAAAATGCAATCATAGACTGTTTCTAAGACCAACTGTTATTGGGTTTCAGAGGATTCTTAAGATCGATAAATGTGGATTGATTCCCCTGTATGTCTATTTTCAAATATCTCGTGTGCAGTTTCGTCAAGTTACTAATTTCCTATCTTAATATTAATCGTCCTATACCAGGATTCCCTGTATTGCCAGCTCAGCTAAACCGCATACACCATATTTTGGTATAGATTTCAAAGCAGACCACATGAACTTTTGCGCTCGTTTTTTAGTGAACAAACACCCATCTCCATTTTGCCCATGTCCAGCCTAGGCAGCGCCAGAAGAGGCGGCGCCGGAAATTGCTGGCACTGTCGGCCGCCGCCTGTTTGGCGCACTGTGCCGCAATCAACCTTATTTTTTGAGCACTTGGCAAATTACATAATGTACGGAAAAGTCAGCCACATTTGCGCCCACTAAGTGCGTTTCAATATCGACATGATTAATGATACCAAGCCCAGCCGCACACCCCCTAATGTTTTTAATCAAATTGGCGACTACTCTTGGCCAATTTTTCATATTCCAAAGATTTGTTACCGATGAAAACTGCGGGTGGCTAATTTTGCACATTTTCAGTTTGTTTCCATGCCGCCCATTGTGCGGTTGTATCTGAGTATGTGTGTGTGTGTGTGTGTATGTGCATGTAGTATGTGCCTTACAGAAAGAAAAATATAATAATAAGAGAGAAAACCCATTTCATTTATTTCTCTTCATTACTGGCTGCGCTTTGCCGACTGTGTGGCCCACCACCTAGGGCGGCATTCTCAGTCAGGTCTTTCAACAACATTTTTCATTTCATGTGCTGGAAAATTTCTACCTGAACGGCATGCACCGGTAGGCGTGGGAATTACAGCTCATCAGCTAGTGCGCGAGTATGTGAGGACAGGGAAATTGCAAGGAAACTGCACAGGCAGGCACAGGGACGTGTGAAAATGTGCGGAAGACAGGAAATATGAGGCAGCAGCCTGTGGTGCATGCTGCATAAATTCCTGGAAAATGTTGGTAATTGGAGTTGAAGGCTGGGAACATGTTTCTACTTCCCTGTTTTTGCGAACCACTTTCTTAGAGCCATTTGCAGAATGCAACATATGTACAATGATTGAACATTTTATATATTTTATATACTTTTTATACGAACCTTTAAAAAGTGCGGCGTATCCAAGCGAGTTGATTATCGTGGCAACTATAGAAGTAGCATTTGTTGTTTCTGTTGACAAATTGCAGCTCCGTGTTGATGGTGATAGTGATGAGAGTTTTAGTTGGACAATTACAATTACTTGATTACTTGCTGGCACAAGCGATTTTGGGTGACAAAAACAATTGTCAAAATTCCACACACTCATTCACGTTTACAAAAAAACAGAAACCGACCTGAACAACAACAACGCCAATAATTATTATCATATATGTATGTATCTATATGTAATATGTATATTTATATATATATAAATATATGTATGTATGTATGTATGATGTGTGTACGTTAAGTGCGAGTCACTATTACTTGTGCTGCTGTTGCTTAATGATGGCTGGCTGTGTTTGTTGTTGCAGGAATTTGTTGTGGTTGTAGTCGTATTTTTCACTTTTGATTTTCTTTTTTTAAGTCGAAACACTATGCACAATTTTTCACACTTTTGTGCGCTTTTGGCCGGCGGTATTGCTTGCTTTTTTGGAACATTTATTTGCTTTATCGCCACACCGTAGCACAATTATTTATTAAAATACTCTGCTCCCACACAGACAGACAGACTCGCACGCACACACACACGCTACGCACTCACATAGACAAATATTCATTCAAGACACGGTACGTATAAGATCTGCGCGCTCGCTCACTCCCATGTCTTCTGTTTGTCTGGCGGCCTCTGATGGCTGCTGCTGATGTTGCTACCGCTGTTGTGGACGAGAGTTGTGAAGAGGAAAATCCAAGAAAAATAATACTATATGGAATGAATGCGACCACAAAGCAAAGACGCACAAAGTAATTAACACGAAAAAATGAATGTTGCTGCTGCTGCGCTTCTCTCTATCAGCGAGCGCAGATATTTCTTATTTTATATAGCTACTTGGCTATTTGGTTTTGTCCGATTTTGTCTGCATTGTGTTATTTTATTTAATTTTTCATAATTTTATGGCGTCTACCTGTGCAAGCGCATCCGCTGCTGCTCTGCTACTTTGTTGCTTTACGTTAAACGAGCACAATAACAATACACAACATTCACGTACGAAACGTAAGTGGTAAAGCAGTAAGGTAAGCGAGAAAAAGTGATATGAACTGAACCAACGGGAACCCGTATATATGCACGCGCTCCACAATTATTTTGCACGGAAAGGCACTCGATTACGCGTCGTAGACTTGCACACTATTATTGTTTCAATCTCATTTGAGTTTAAATTTCCGAACGCATTTGGTTATTGTTGATTTTTGGATAATTGCTGCAGAATCTTATGGTAATTCGTACAACTCGCGTTACATATGCACGGACGACACAAGCGTTGCAAATGATGGCCAGCGATAGTCTGAGAGTCGTGTGATGGCAGGGTTGTCATGGTTGCGCAAAGCCCAACCAACATGCTAAATGTTTTGAGCGTTGGCCTCATATTGCACAGGTGCGAGCGAGATAAACTGATAGTATGAAACCAAAAGTGTTGAAAAATCAGCGGATTTTTAAAGAACAACGATGATTAATTCTATAAAATTGAAAAAACGCAATATATTAAAATTAAAAATGAGGTATTTTAGCGAAAGAATGGTCACTTATTTTGTTGTACAGAATAATTTATGGGTAGCACTGATCTATTGTATTATACAACACTGCGGGGCATAACATGTGTTAAAAACTTTGGTATTTTCTGTAATAAATGGAAGTGCCCTCAAATAATGTTTTCTTATATACTGTTTGCTAATTCAATTAATTGTCGTATTTCTTGCTCTAAGGCTTTCTATAGCTTTTGCAACATATCTTAAGGTTTTGCAGAATATTTTGTTTTTTGGTCACACTTATTTCTTATTTGTACAACACGCGCCCGTTTCTATATAAACAAATAGCAATATCAACAAGTGCGTTAATAATATGGGCGTTCGGGGGTTAACAAGTTACATAGCGCAACGCGCTGAAATTTACCTCAAAGCCTTTGAATTGCACGACACCAATTTGGTTATCGACGGCGACAATCTGGCCTGTAACCTCTACAAAGATGTTACTGGACTCTATTCTGCATTTGGCGGGGATTACGATGATTTCTATCGCGCCGTCGTCCAGTTCTTTCAGGTTCTGGCCGAATGTAGAATAGATGCCTACGTGCTCATGGACGGAGGCTACGAGAAGCGAAAGATGCGCACCGCCAGCAAAAGATTGACCGGCAAAATTGCTGTTATAAAGCGCATTAATCCGCTTGCCTCAATCACGCTCTTTCCGCTGCACATGAAGGAAGTGTTCATAGATGCGGTGAAAGATTGCGGCGTGCCCATCATGCGGTGTGTTTTCGAGGCAGACGACGAGCTTGCAGCCTTGGCGCGTAAACTGAATTGTCCAGTGCTCTCGTACGATTCCGATTTCTATATACATAATGTCCAGTACATACCACTGATTACACTCACTGTCAAAGTGCAGCACTCCAAGAGAGACGAACAAAAATCCTCGGAGCAGACCAGGGTGCTGCGCAGGAACGAAGCCAGGCGTATGGAAAAACTCACAAAGGCTAATAAGATCATCAGTGGCATACAGAAGCCGGAAGAGCGGCCGGAGTCGAAGCGTCCCAGAACATACAAGTACCTGGACTGCTGCATCTATCGGGTGGAACATTTATGCGGCAATGGTGCACTAAGTCCGGAGAAACTGCCGCTCTTTGCTGCGCTGCTGGGCAACGATTACATTGCGCGTTCTGCGTTCCGCAATTTCTTTGCCACTGGCTTGGGGAAGGCAGGACGCAGTCGCAAGATGAAACAACAGCAGCGACGCATACGCGTAATCCTGCAGTGGCTGCGTCAGGAGACATCGGAATCGGCACTGGCCAAAGTTCTGTCGCGATTAAAGCAAGTAAGTTTGGATAGACAGCTATTGAGGGTTAGTCATTTATTAAGTCTTTTGCTTTACAGTCCCAACGCGAATCTCTAGTAGCCCAGGTGCAGGCAGCCATATCGGGCTACTCCAATGAGATTTGTCATGCCTACGATTATTTCAAATCAAATTACGCAGAAGCCTTTAGATATTTTGAACCCAATGACGAAGAATATCCAAGCGATATAGAGGAGGAAGGTGATTTTGTTGGGGAGTTGTCCGAAGAAGAAGAAGTGGGGGACGAGGTGCAACAAGATTCCTTTGCAGAAGAACAAGATGCAGAGGAAGACGAAAGTAGTAGCAGTGATGACGGGGAAACCAATGCCGATGGGGTAGAAGACAAAGCTTTACAATTCCCCCAGTGGTTTCTGGACAAGCTCTATCCGGCGCACCTGCCCCGTTTCTTTGTGGATCTTCTTCACTTGAGGAAATATATCAACAATCCACAAATCGAACACTTTCCCCACAAAGATGCTAACGAATTGGCGCTGCCAATACTCAACTACATATTTGCTCTGCTCCACAATGTGGAAGGCGAGAACCTGCTCCCTCCCGTCGATGAAGAAGGCAATCCTCAGCCCATTGAGTTTACGTACCTGACACGTGCCATGCGTGTAACCAACATTCGATACTATCGGAAGCCCATCGAAGTGTTACCCAAATATGCATTTGTGCCCACAGCGCCGGACGCTAGACATCTGCAGGCGATATTTGAGCAGCGGATGCAACTGGATGCAGGCCTTCTTTTCAAAAAATTGGAGCTGCTGCCGCAGGATCTTCAGCTGTATTGTCTAGCCATTGTTTATTGGCTGCACAAGTCGGAGCACTGCGACCTGTTGCATTTGAATGCGCTGTTGATTTGCCTCGTCGTCCTGAGGACTGTGGACGTGACTATACCGGCGGAACGGGAATTAAAGGAGTTTCGTCGTCGCTTCGGTAAGATTTGTAAACAGGAGCGAGCTGTGCGTGATAAGGAGGCACTGGATGGCATAAAACGCGGCATCAAGCCAGCGCTGCTGGAGCTGTCCATTCCAGATCGCATGGCCCATGTTCCCAAATCCGATTGTTATCTGACGCAGGAGCGATTGCTGCCTCATTTTCACATGCAGGAGATTTTTAAGAAAAAATATGACCTTTACTCCACTATTGTGCTGCATGGTTTTGCCGAATTCCAAGCCGTCGTCTATCAGCTTAGTAGCCTGAATGCCCTCCTCGACTTCCCACGAGCCAATCCGCGAATGAATCGGCTATATTGTGGCGCCTTTCTTTATAATTTATATGACCTGCTCTGCAATCGCCTCGATGTGCGTTACTATATTGAACGTTTTGTACTGCCGGACTCCAAACTAATGTTTGATTTCTTCTGTTATTTATACGATTGGTGTGTCGACTTTCTGCCCGACTGGAAGCAACCCGATAAGGAACAGGCTGTGCCCAAAGCTCTGATAAAGAAACAATTGAAAAAGCAGCGACAGGCAGCACGTAAGGCAGCAGCATCCAAAAATATGGCAGATCCCAATGCTGAAATGTGTAAAGAATGTAATTCCGATCAAGACGACGCATTTTTCGATTTGAATAACAAGTTTTGTGCACTAAAAGTGTAAACGGAGGCCAGAGCAATAATAGATATTTCAAATTCGCGGCAAGTTGGCAACACTTGTAATAAACAAAGCTACGGACGATTTTCAACACTACTCGACGACGTCAACATCATTTGGTTCGGTCGCGGCGGAGGCGGAGGAGCTGAATGTTATCGTTGTAATCAAGTCAAAATAAAAAAATAATAATTGAACAAATAAGGGAGCCCAAGAAAAAGTGTTTCCAATTATAAAAAGCACTGCCAACAACAACAAATGCATTTGCAGTGCTGCCCGTAGTCGTCGGTGTGTAAGCAAAAAATCCAGCGACGCTTTTGGCAAGACAGAGAAACAAAGGCAAAATCAAAAACGTCATTGGGTGGCAATTAAACAAGCGCCCCTGACAGTATCAGTGGTGGCGTCGATAGCGGAGCGTTCGTAGATGCTTATTGGCTTTTACGCGCAGCTAACACGCAAAATGGACAGCGTATTCGAAGCGTATTTGGGCCCCGACAGCGTGCTGGCTGGCGCTGTTGGTGGCGCCGTGGGTAGTGGCGAGCCGGAGGACATACCAAAGAGGAATACCGATGTTTGGGTGCTGGGCAAACGCTATAATGCCGTGCAGGGTGAGCTCATTTCGACTTTCATTTTATAATTTCCATACAATGTGGTTGGAATTCATTTCAGAACTGGACCTGATACGGCGGGACATACAGACCCGACTATGGTGCACCTATCGTCATGGTTTCGTGCCACTGGGTGAAGTGCAATTAACCACAGACAGGGGTTGGGGCTGCATGCTTCGCTGTGGTCAGATGGTATTGGCCCAGGCCTTGATTGATTTACATTTGGGACGTGACTGGTTCTGGACGCCTGAATGTCGTGACTCTACGTATCTGAAGATAGTGAATCGGTTTGAGGACGCACGCAAAAGTTATTACTCTATACATCAGATTGCGCTGATGGGAGAGTCTCAGAACAAAGCGGTGGGCGAGTGGATTGGACCAAACACAGTGGCACAGATCTTGAAGTATGAGGGAGAGATTTGATAACCATATGTTACTTACCATGACTTGTGACTTGTTGTTACTTATAGAAAACTGGTGCGTTTCGACGACTGGAGTTCGTTGGCTGTGCACGTGGCCATGGACAGCACTGTGGTGCTTGATGATATACGTGAGCTTTCCTAACATTTTGTATCTCTGCGTATTTTAATTTTTTTGCACAATCCAACAGTTACGCTTTGCCTTTCGCCAGGCGACAACAGCTGGAAGCCTTTGCTACTTATTATACCTTTGCGCTTGGGCATCAGCGACATAAATCCGATATACGTGCCCGCCTTAAAACGCTGCTTAGAGCTAGAAAGCAGTTGCGGCATGATTGGTGGTCGTCCAAACCAAGCGCTATATTTCCTTGGTTATGTGGACGAAGAGGTGCTTTACTTAGATCCGCATACAACGCAAAGAACTGGAGTAGTGTCGCAGAAGTTGACACCCGAGGAGCAGGAGCATGACGAGACTTTTCATCAAAAACATGCTGCACGTTTAAACTTTAGTGCCATGGATCCTTCACTGGCCGTCTGTTTTCTGTGCAAGACGCGTGACCAGTTCGATGCCTTCCTGCAGCAATTGCGCAATGAGGTACTCAAAGTGTGCACGCCGGCATTGTTTGAGATTACACAGGCACGGGCCGTCGACTGGGACACGGTGGAGGATATTGAGTGGCCAGCCATACCGGACATAGACTGGCCAGCGAGTTCCGACTCCGAGTCGTTCGCCATTGTGGGTGAGTAACCAGCACACGCAATAAACTCACTCAGTCTTATCAATGCGCTCTCAATTCGCAGGCGAAAGCAATAGTAAACAAAATGCGAGTGAGTGTAAAAAGACGGAAAGCACTCGGAGTGCCATCATTTGAGTGCTCGCGCTCATGGCGTCTGCGCGCTGCGAAGCCGCTATCGCTGCCACCGTCACCGCCTCAGTGAACCTTAAGAAGCATGAACCTGTGTGCACCGGCGTGCGAAACTGGAGCAGCCTGCTAGCCAGCCAGCCCGAGCAGCTTAATTGGAGCAGCAGCTATCGGCCGCTTGGATGCTGCGCCCTCACCTGACTGTGGATGCAGTAAATTAAACTACAGTGCATTAATAATAAGCTACTCGTCATTTTCGAATAGAACCGTTTGCTGCCGTTGGTTTTCTTTTAAATTGTATGTACCTTTATTTCATTGTATTGTATTTGGTTTTCGATTCAATTGTTAATAGGCTGCTTTATTGTACGATTGACTCCATGGGAGACAATTTGGCAAATACACACACAATGTTCATGCTTTTTTCTACTAATTATTACAATAATGTAACTTTTTACGGATTAAACATTTTTACGAAGTGTTGTATAAGAAAGATTCGACAAATTGTTTTTGTTGGACTTGTTGTTTGAACATTTTTTTATATGTATGCATATATGTATATGTGTATATTGTATCGTATATATTGGATGTACATATATTAAAGGTATATGTACTTTAAAAATGGACCATCAACTAAATACACATAATACTTCGACGTCATACACGAGTGTTTATGTCGATTTTTATTAAGATGCCTTATCATGCGCGCATTCTAAATATCGTACCGCAATACTCGTATTGTAATATGTGTCATAAAATTAATTAACAGTTTAAAAACTCAAGCTACAGAAATAAGGAACTCTTTACATAGAACGAAATACTACTACAATACTACTATACTGTATAACAACAGACGGCCCTAGCCTTATGAGCTGACGCTTTCAAATTGACGCTATATTAATAACATTAAATAACAAACTCCGTCCAGTTAATTGAAAGGAAATAAGCTCCATCGGCCCTCCCTATTCTGAAACTTAAGATTCAAGGGCTTTTGTACGATTGGACTGGATTTTTTAATTCATACTGAACGTAATATTCAACAAAAAATTAAAAGAGGTATATCAATTTGACTTATCAAAACGGATTCAATATAAGGGTGCCTTGATGGAACTTATTCGTCTAAATAAGTAAGGACTACGGCTTTGTGCTGCATCTTAAAGAATACAGCACGAGCGTTCGATTTTCTTTTCAATCTTTGGCATCTCTTGTAGCGCCATCTCCACATGCTTGCGTGCTAGCCAGGATTGCTTCTGCAATCGGTTGATTACAATGCGATAGGAGCCAATTATATCGGACCGTGGACCACTGGGCAGTGCGTTGCGCAGCATCTCACTGGTGATCCCTAATTCGGCGAGCAGTTGGCGTGCCTCAAACTCCAGCGCCGTCAACTGGCTGAGATCATCAGTGTCGCTGGGAAGCATTATGAAGTTGCCCGTCTCCCCATCATAGTTCTTGAACATCGGGCAATCGCTGGCCACCTCCACGTTCCAGGGACTTAGCTTAACTGCACCACCGACTCCATTCGAAAGCTGCTTCTCGGGCTCCGTTTCAATGGGTGTGATCTTCTTCTTGAGCGTGCCACAAAACAAATACCGCTTCGGTGTGCAATTCGAATTGGCCGTCTTGGCCACATTTGCTTCCTTCCGGCCGCCACTGTACTGCATTACCTCGTGCCCCTTTTCGATGGGATGCAGGAAGCTGTCCACAAACATCTCGTCCTGCTGGCGCGTATTCATGCTGATGGCTGGCTTTTTGACGGCATCCACGTAACGTTCCCGTAGCGAAGCGGACTTGCGCAGGCGCCGCGACTTGGAGCGTACCCAGAATATGGATCGCTTAACGGGCTTGCTGTGCTGATTGAGTTCATGCTGCATCAGTTCAGCACTCAGCTTCGGACAGATCACGAACTGACTGTTGAGCATATCGTCAATTGTAGGCCGTTGCGCTGGGATATGGATTAAGATGCGTTCTGCAAGTAAGTCAACAATAAGATACATAATATCATAATTATCAGTGGTCAGTAAACTCTTGAGCTGGTATTTATAGATCCTCTGCTGTACAGGTATATTACATATTTTTTATTAAAAAGGTTTCGATATTTCCATCCATCTATCATCTGTTTGAGGAATGTATTCCCAAAACTCCCACCGCAAAATTCTTTTCTAAATGTTTGTCTCGAAAGAGTTTCCGTTAAGGCAATAAAAGCAGGACTTGACTTTGTAGATTGTTCTTTTCATAATAATGGCTATAAATCTTCCCACACCGGGTCTGAGATTCCATCATAAATAATTTTTTCAATTATTATTTAAAAAAATAGTTTTTAACTAATTCTAAGCTTGGCAGATCTATTGATGCCTGTTGACGGCACTTGGTAGACAAAAAGCCCATAATATTTCCCCCACGCGTTCATTAGATATTATTGTTGTTTGATTAGATTTCTCCTACTTAGGCTTTCCTAGCTGATAAGGCTTTTTTACAACATTTATATAGTTTTCTCATGTCGACAGTGAATGAATGGTGACACAAAAATATAATAAATAATTTCCACTTATGGTTACTTACGTATTAGTCTTATGCACGGCAAGCTGAGCTGTCCTGGCAGCAAATAGTCGCCTTTGAGTATTGCTGCCTTCAAACCAGGTATTGTCGGAGCCCGAAATGGCATATCTCCCACGACCATGAAGTAGAGCAAAATCCCCAAAGCCCACACATCGACCGGCGCACCAATATAGTGGTCATCGGAGAAGAGCTCGGGTGCGGCATAGGGGGGCGAGCCGCAAAATGTGTCGAGCTTCTGATTGGCACCTGTACGAGATGTGCAACAAAGTTAACAACGACAAAAAATAGATAAAATATTGTATTAATCACGAATGTACCATTTATGAGCTGTGTGCTGAAACCAAAGTCTGCCAACTTTAAACGATCCTCGGAAAGCAACAGAACGTTTTCCGCCTTGATGTCTCGATGTACGTAACCAAGGCTGTGCTGAAAATACAAGAAGAAAAAAGCAAAGAAGAGTATATACTATTTGCTTTGCTTAAAGCTTATTTATGCATGAAAATAAATTGGGGAAACCATTTCGGACTGTTTATATACAAAAAAAAAGCTGTCATTGAAATATACATAAGATTAAAGAAAAACATTCTTTATTTTAAATAATTTTTATTTGTGAAAATACTGGTGACTGCTTCTCTCTTCCTTCTCTATTAATAACTAAAACTAGTTCCGAAAGCTAAAAAAAACGCAGTAATAATAAAAATTACCATATCGCTAGAGACGGCGGAAGCAATTGGAATATGATGTCAGCTTATTATACAAGTAATTCAAAATACATAATTTGTAGTATATTTTTGTTAAAATAAGTAAAGAAATGTATGTATATCATGGGAAAAGTCCCTAAACTACGTTTTTTATTAAGTATGAGTATTTTATTTCCTCATTCTTAAAAATCAGAACCTCTATTTATGCGCATTTCTTTAATATAACGCTCCTTTCGTAGTACATTCGGCACATTATTAATTTTTTTTCTGATTAATCAAAGCATTGAAGCCGTGCATTCAGATTAGCACCTTAACAATACATTTTTACAAATATAAAATAGCCCAACCGCGAGCACTTCCGCGCGAGGATTAATAAGTTAGTGGTGGCTTATGCATATCTAAATGTTTTGAAAAAACCTAATCGTTTCAGTCTTCGCAAAGGTCTAGCAGGAAGGAATCCTCTTGCAAGCAAACTGCGGTGACTCAGAAGCCTGCCACTGTATCTACTTGTATGCCTTCCAATCTGCTCCTCCACGGTGAACAGGTTTAGGTCTCGGTGAAGGGTCGTGCCGACATTATTAATATAATAAATTTTGTGAGTAGCAAGGTTCTATATCTCTCTCTTCAAGAGGTTTCTTATTTGACTTTTACTTCTGCTTACTCAAGATAGATTAGGAGTTTAGATGAAATTAGTGTAGTGGGCTCAAGATATCTACAAGTATGCTTTGAAGCATAATTCGTCAGTTCTTATCTCATATCTTAATTCCGTAATAACATTTGTAATATGCCAGAGATTTTCTAGGAAAACTGTTAAATATATGAGTAATTGTGCTTACCATATGCTTTACAGCCAGCAGCAATTGCTTGAATAGAGGAGCGGCGTGAATCTCCCGGAGCGGTCCGCCCTGCGTGATGTGGTTGTATAGCTCGCCGCCACGTATCCATTCCGTGACCAAATAGACACGCCCCAAAGTCTCAACCACTTCGAAAAGCCTGCGAGGGCGTGAACTCCAAATAATACATCACTTAATGGACGGATGTTGTACTTACCTTAATATGTTTGGATGGTGAACAAATTCGAGAGTTGCGATTTCGCTGGACAGCATACGCAAGGCCTTGGCATCGAGCCCGGTTCTATCAATTTGCTTGATTGCTACCTTGTCTGTGGAAAGCAATGGCGGTTGAAAATGTCAGAAAACTGGCGCTCTCTACACTTATAACTTCCTGGCGAACTTACCGCGCGTCAATTGATGCACGGCCAATTTCACTTTCGAGAAATTGCCGCGTCCAATGTCGCCACAGAATCTGTAGAGACCGATGCGGCGGCCTATGGTCACCTGAGTATACGGAAAGAATAATACTTGTAGATGCTTAGAATGAAAGGCTATCGTTTGACAATTAAAAATATTATAACCTACATTTCACACTAGAGTTGCTGATATTTTTGTAAATAACAATATCAAGAATATTTTGCGAATACGAATACTTAAAGAAATTAACTTGCTGTTTCTACATATGTATATTAATATATGTTTTTCAAATTAGTTTAAAATTTACCCCTAATCTCTTAACAAGATGACAATAATTATAAATGTATTAATAAATAATAATAATAATAAATTCTCTGTGCTAGTTTCTTCCATGAAATGGCTGAAATGGTTCCTAGTTTAAAAATAAACAACAATTTTGAGAATATTTTGCGAATACCAAGAAAGTTAGCTAGTTATATACATATGTACATATATTAATATATTCATATGTTATATTAACATCTCCGAAAACTCAAGCAAGCAATTGTTATTTTGAAAATATTGGTACGATCGGTAAGTACCTCGCTATGCCCAAGCTAAACCATGTATTAATAAATTATCTGTGTTATTTTCATCCATTGTGTCTTTGAAATAGATCCTAATACAAAAATATTGGTACTAGCCTATAAACATTAAGTTTTCTAATCGATATGAACTTCTCCGAAAACTTAAGCAAGCAATTGTTATTTCGAAAATATTGGGCGAAAAGTAAGTACCTCGCTATGCCCACGACTACTATATATTGGCATAACACAATGAACATTAAGTTCAGTTTTCAACTTAATCTCATTTTCATTTTACAAGAAGTACAATTTTTACTTTATGCCGGATTAATGAAAAGAGTATGCTGGTCCTTAAGGCCCTTTCAGCTTCAGCTACCATGCCTTTTAATTAAACCAGCGTGCACTATTTGCTAAATGTAACTTGAGACGGCCTTGATTGGGGGGAAGAAGGGGTGGGCATTGCTGCTTTAGCTTCTGTTGCGGCTTAAGCCTCTTTTGGACGGTACAAGCGTTAATTAAGGTGCATAACTCGGCGTATACGTAATCCGGCGTCATTACGTTAGGTGTACGTATTATGCATGCACGCACACGCATACAAACAAAAAGCGACGCAAATGAATAAAATACACACACACACACCTACACGCACACACACACACACTAAAAACACATTCAAATGCTTGTCTCTGTTGTTGTTGCCCATGAAGCGCAAGAAAATTAGCCTTGAACCTCGACATAATTGCAGCGTCAACTGTCGTGGCGGCGTCGACGCGTCGCCGGCTACAGGTTTGTGTATTAGCTAAGGAGAGCTGTGACGTAACTCGATACCCACAAACAAACATGCAAACTCACCTCGTGCCCACACCTCGGATCGCATTGCAGCGCTTTTGTCAGCCGCTGATACGGCGGCGTCGGCGGTGGCGGCTGACAGAGCGTCAACGTTGGCGGCGACAGCGGCTGCAGCGGCGCTTTTACAGTTGCTGTTGCTGATAAGCAGCGCACCGTATTGGTATCCACGATGGCCGTTTTTGCTGTTTCCCTTCCTCTGTCTGGGGCAGTCGGAAACAATTGAACGAAACAGAAATGTTTTTCTAGGCGATACGATACCGATGGCTTATCAGCGGCTTTTTGTTGGCCAGCCTGTTGTCTATTTTTGTGCGTCGCTTATTTTGTTGTTTGCTAATTTAATGGCAATTGTAGCTGTTGTTGTTGTTGTTGTTGTTGTTACATTATTGACATGACTACAAGTTGAATTGGGCGCCTGTGAATAAAACAACGTGGAGAAAATAGATTAATATGCTATAAATAATTATGTATTCAAGGACTTGGAAGTTTGGTAAGATTTATGAAAATGGGAACATATCGTAACTTTATGTAATCAATACTTAGCCTTTGGTCAACAACTTAACTAATTGGTAGGAAAGGCAACAGAAAAAGATGAACAAATTTGTCAAGTTTTGCGCGGCAGGCAAAAAAAAGAGAAAAGATTTCCAATAAAGGAATTCTCAATAATTTAATAATGAAATGGCTGTCTGCACGTGGCCTGGATTTCATGGCCAACAGCATCGGCAGCGATGCGATTTTATTTTGCTACATCCTCAAACACACACACACACACAAACACAGCAAAAGTTAACTTAAAGTAATTACGTAAATGGATTTCGTTGCGTTGCTCAAATTTCCTGCACATCCTCGCAAATAAAGTACACAAGAAGAGCAGCAACACCAACAGCTATGCCAATGGAAGCAGCAACAGCAGCTACAACGACAACAACAACAACAACAAAGGCAATATTTATATAGCAGTTTGCGCGCCCGCTATATAACGCCCCCCAAGCGTGACAGGAAGTTGGCCAGGAAGGAAGCAAGCAGGCGACCGGCGGACGGGTGAACAGAAGGCGTTAGAGGACAAAGCGTTATGGATATGGCAACAATATTTCTACTATAAACATTTTTTTTTTTAAATATATACATATAAATACATGCTTATATAAAACCGTAAGGCCAAGCAGCTTCAATACTCGCCGCTTATGTACACTGACATGAAAACGCTGTACACAATTATTTTTAATCAAAAATTAAGTAGGTGAAGTGCTTAGAAATGAAAAAGAAGTGGGTAGAAGCTTTCTCTTAACATATTTAAGGCACTCCTTATCCACGTCTTACTTGTATAGATAATACACGAGTATGTAAAAAATTACTGTTTTATTCTTATTTTAACGGAATGCGATGAGCTAAGTAGAATAGGTGGAATAAGAAGACACACAAAAGTCAAGTCTTCACAAATGTCTTGTAAATACCAAAGGATGTTTATGAAGAACTCATAAATAATACTTTATCAGAATAGTTTTTTCAAAGTAAATAAAAAGTCAAATTTGTATCTTGTTTTTATAGTATTTTTTTTGTATTTACAAATAAATATTATTCAGTTGCCAGTAAATCGAAAAATTCAAATTAATTTCGTTAAAACAATTATTGCTCAACTCGTTTTTTGAAACAAAAAATAACTCTTCTATCCTTTAATATTGAAATTCCAGCGTCCTTTCAAAAACAAAAGCCATTTTTAATCATTAGATAGCGGACCATTTATTTAAAACACAATTTTAAGCATATCGGCCTAACAATACAGAATTCATGAAAATGGTAATAAATGTGTTGTTTCCGTTGTCTAGACATTTTCTTCAAGTGTGCGCTTTAGTGTGTCTGTGTCTGTGTCCGTGGTGTAAAAACTTTTACGACGACTGTGACAAGCGACGCCATTTTTATGATTGACTGGCAGCTGGCGGCGTGGCATTGTGGCCACAGTGGCCGATTGCTGGGCGTGGCTGCAACGATTTCGAAGCATTCCAGTGTGTGTGAGTGTGCGCCGTACAATTAAATTTACATTTACATTTTTGCAAAAGCGCCAGTGGCATGCCCACAAACAGGGAAACGAACACACAGTCGTATTTATTTGACGCTTAGAAGTATGCAACAATTTTTTCGCACTTATCAAAGCTCCACAGGCGGGCAGCCAAGTGAATATAAATGCGTGTGTGTGTGTAGGTAGCGTTCGTGTGTGAGTGTGAAAGAATTGCCTTCGCTGTTTCGCTTACATTTGCATGCTAATGGTGTACATAGAGTCTAGTGTGTGTGTAAAGTGTGGCACAGCTGCTAGTGCGTGCCTCTAGGATTACACTTTTAATTACAAAACTAAACATGAATGCCTTCGATATTAAGCACAAGCACAGAAGAGCTTAGAATGGGATGGACTAAGGCGTGTGCGGGGTGGGCAGAGACGAGGAGTAAAAAGTAAGGTGATAGCAGACACGTGCTCAACGATAGCAATGGCTGAAATGGAGGGCAATTCCTTTAGCATAGAAGTGCCACTTCGAAGTACCTCACATTTTGCGTTCTTTCGTAACTGTGTCGTAGTTTTGATAAAATGGTAGATATATACATTTATACACACATATGTATGTTGTTCCACCTACCCGACAGATGCACAGTCAGCGCTCAATTGAAACGAGACATCAAAGAATTCCTTGGAAATATGAGTTACCTACTCAGACCTACCTGTTTGCATAGTAATGTCAAATGGCTTCCTAGAATCGTGTATTAAAGTTGCTTGGCTTTTATGCAACAATTGAATACAGAGAGTAATATAAAAAGTACAGTCGCTATTCTGTATAGTAGTTCAAAGTTTCACAACACGAAAAAAACTGGTAGCCAGGCCTAAGCGAATTAGAAATCGGTTTTATATCGGCAATACTGTAGATATCTACACAAACGTACAAAAGTTGTTATAAAAGCAAGTAAAATGAATGAATGAAACGAATGAGGTTCGTGACAGGCGTTACAATAAAATAATAAACACAATATACATATGTATAATAAGAACAAACATAATTTTTCGAGGATGATTCCGAATTCTGATTCAATTCCTGTTCAGCAATAACATTTTCAGCTATTTGGACTAAATGAGGTATGTTTAATGTAGTTTCAAAATGTGCCTGAACATCTCTGTAAATACAGTGGAAATTAACATAGTTAGTTAATGCTCGATTCAGTATTTGCATATCCACGACAATGCACATTAAAGACTTATTTGATTTTCTTATGGATGCCATTATCAGAAATTGGCCACGGGAAGGAACAGTTTTCAATTTAAAGAAAGAATCACTAAAATTGGTTAACCAGTCGAATGTTTTGAGGTGACAAATATAAAAAAAATACAGTCGAATTGAGAACCTCCTCCTTCTCTTTTGAGGTCGGTTAAAACTAATTTTTTATAAGCTTTAGTGACTCCTCCGAATAAGTGAAACAATTTATCAAAAGGTATCATTATGCTCGTATTATTTGCTTAAATTTATTTTGAATCTGATATTTGGTAGTGACCTGATATTAGGTGAGTAATTGCCGATTTTGATTTGGACACGTTGCATTTTTCCCGAGTGATATATCACTCTATGTCTTTCTTTCGCGATCGATATGTAAATATATTGTAAACATGTTAATACGATCAGTGCTTCAGCTTTGAGGTTTACAGAGACAGACAGACATAATTACGTGATTAAATGAGTTTTGAGTTATGTCAAAATTAGTTTCAATAACTAATATGTATTATTAAATTAGCGTTTGGGGTCCATAGTAAGTAGCTTTGTTTAAAAACTTTGAAAAGTGGCGGAAAAGTTTGTAGTACAGGTCGGAACTCGAATTTTGCTATGCAGTTCTGGATAGAGTTTAAATATGAAGAATTATTTGATTATATTTATTTTATGCGTAGCTCAACAATAGTTCATATAACATCCACTATTTATTTTTTAATATACACGTATATAATGACTTAACTATCAATCTGTAAGCACAATTCTCTTCAAAGAGCAACTACTGTATGTTTACTTCTTTATACTTGTATTATCTATCAATATTGTGCTCGAATAAGACTGTAAATTGGCAGTTAATGTATAGATATAGTGTGTATACAGTTGGCTTTATCTAGTGCTGCTTCATCTAGTTATCGACTGCGCTCGCTGACATTTTGCAATTTGTTAGGCGTCATGTTCAGTGGGACTCGCTCGATTGAGCAAACAATTTCATTTTACACTTGATGTTAAATCTAGGGCGGGTGGCGGAGGGGGGCGGGGCAGCGGCGGCTCTGCCAACAAACTTTTAATAGCACACTTGTGTGCAGCGTCTAAGAGCCATCGTCGTCAACCTCATTGTCCTCCTCACCGTCCTCACCGTCCTTATCGTCCTTTTCGTCGTCGTCGTTTGAAGAGCTCCTTTGCTCTTCGTTTGCATGAACATCCAGACAGCTCAGCACTGTACAATATTTTATTGTTATTTTTGGGTCAAGTTCAATTGTAACATTAATTATGCGACTTGGCAGTTGCCTCAGCTGCCGCCTGACACAAGTTCAAATAAATTGCATGCCTTGGAGCGTTAAGTGAGCGTGGTAGCCACCGAGCCCAGAATGCCAAGTGGCGCACAATTTACCGCCTCTTGCCCACCACCAATTGCTCCTCTTTGCTGCACAATTAAAAAATGATTCATTTATCTCATAAAGTATTGCACATGAGTCCGACAAATGCGTGGATGGCATGCGATGCAAATTGTCGCCAGATATAAATAAAATACACAACGCATAATGCAATAGGCAGATGACCGCGACCGGGCCGATTCGGTACGTTCAGATCCCATCCCAGCAGCTGAGGCCGGTGCGGTCGTTGATTAAAAATAAAAATTCCTCCAAAACAAAACAATGCGGGGGTGTCCTATGCACTGTGGACCACAAGCAAAAGAACGATCCTCAACGATTTCAAATAAAATTCTAGTTAACAAATTGCTAAACTTTATTTCAACATAAAAAAATGTATGATCGAGACTCAGTAATTAATTTAAATTACAAAATAATATAGCATTAAG